AGGGCAATTACACTCAAAGTAGCTGATGTGAAAATTTTTAAGTGTCCATGGTGAGATAAAGAGCTTGTGGCAGGCAGTATAAACTAACACATTACTTTCTTTATCAAGAAAGACTTGTAAAAAAAAAAAAAGTTGAATGAGCTAATGTGTGCTTAGTCACAGAGTTGTGAAATAAGGGTATGAATGGGACAATCTCTGTGTGGCCATAGTCCTAGGGATAATGAGTTTGTCTATAGAAAAAACTTATGGCCAATACGAAGGACCAACATTTCTCAAAAACCTTGAGCATCTTATTGAAGCTTCTATGGCAGAATCTAAGGCTCTCGAAGCTGGGCTGAATAGTTGTCACTGGTTCAGACAGTGACATGCATGCAGTACTAAGGCATGTGTTCTTTTCCCAGGCAAGTGTGCAAACTTCTTAGGAACCTATTTGGGTTTTTGTCTTTGTTTTTGGCTAGACCCACTCAATTTTCTTTATAAGAGAAAAACTGAGGGGGAGTGTAAAGGGGAAGTTGGGGGATGGAGACGTTACATGTAAATAATATCCCATTTTGATTAGTAATTGCAAATCAAAATTCTCACGAATGGAGAATTATTGGAGAATTAGGGATTAATGTATTCTTATTAGATCATGACACACTAGGTATTTGGTTAACACTGTACATTTTCCCAAGGTACTTCTGGTTTCTCATTTGATTCACAAAACAACTCTGTCAGCATGGTGAAGTACCTTATTTTGACTGGTAAGCATTAATGCTCGGAGGGAGAGTCACTTGCTTGAGATTACATGGCTAGAAAGATACAGAGGCAGATGGGAATCTTTTGACCACTATTTTATATGCTTTCTATTATACTGTGTTCTTTTAACTGAGATGGTTTGACTCTAACTGGGAGTATTCATGAATAAAACCCAATGGTGCAAAATCCATGGTGCCTTTTGCAGTAGCAGAAGATAAAGCACTGAGAAATTGGTCTTCAGATAGTTCAGCTGATTTAATAATAAATTAAGATACAATGGTCAAATAAGATCAAAATCAAATATCTTCTTTATGGATTAAATGACATTCCTGTGGTAAGTGGGAGAGACAGACTAATTGCCCAATAAATGGTGTCTGCTAGTCTCTTCTGCTCTATTTATTTAGAAAAATAAATACTATAAATAAATTACCAGTTAAAAAAAACTTCCAAATTAATTCTGCATCTCTTTTCCTCGAGAAGAACCTGTAAAAAGATCACTACTAGGAAAAGTTTTGCACCACTTGAGATTTAATTTGAAATTGTTTATCTTGAAGTGAGCAACAATTAGGGGCTACAATCAGCCATTCAGCATAAAGTTGTGGAAGAATACGTTTCCCCCAGAGGAGAGCTGTGCTTTGCACGAAGGAAGTCAAGGAAAACTAACACAGTTGAGAGCAGATATTTAAAAAATAAGTGTCCCTTCCTGGTCCCCTCATGAGGTACTGAGGTTATTGAGTATCACTGCTGTGTTCCTATACTATATACAAGTAGTGCTGTGCTGGCCAGATTCTAACACACAGACTTCAGTTCTCAGCCCTGTGTTATCAGAAAAAATGGGCCATCTAAAACATTTACATTTCCATGTCAAAAAAAATGGATTTGTTGTACATATGACTAATGAGACAGCCAAAATTGTGGTAAGTACATTGAACAAGAGTTGAAAACAGTCACTTTCGAATTGCATCAGTTTGATCTAAGACAATAATGTCAACTTCATTAACTCTGCCTAATGGAACTGAAATGGAATTCATAGAAGATATGTATTTTGGGAGAAATGTGTGCTTGTTACTATCTCAGCAGGTAAATTGTAGACTTAACTTTGAAGAAACCGCACAAATCCTCTAAAATCGCTAGAAGAAAAAGAAATATGGACACAGAAGAGAAAAAAAAGTGTAACTGTAGGCACTTGATGTAACAAATGTAAAAGGAACTAGGTTCATATGCAACCCCATTATTTGACAGTCATAGGAATAGAATTTAGAACTAAGAAGTGATCATTTTTACTAAAATGGATTAGCCTCAAGTGGGGGTTTGAGTGTGGTAGAGAAGTGAGAATTTTTTTCTTAGTAGGAATGTGCTCTGACTCCATCCTGTGTGTAATGGTGTATTAAATTTGTATAGTGTAGTGACAATATACACGTGTTTTTTGTTTGTGTTTGGCCAGGGCCAGGTTTGAACCGGCCACCTCTGGTATATAGGGCCGGTGCCCTACTCCTTTGAGCCACAGGTGCCACCTGACAATATATAGGTGTTTTCAAAAAGTGAGTAGTGAACTAGTTTACTTTTAAGGACTTTTCCTGCCTGCAGGAAGTTAGTTCCCTCCAAACCAATTATGTGTTTATGTTTTGAGTACATAGTATATTGAAATGAAACTTCTGTGCTTTTCTTGGTCATGTCAGTGGTATCTCCTTCCATTCAAGAGTGGTGGCAGGATGTTACCAAAGCCATTACTTATGGACTGGAACCTGCATCTGAAAGAAATCAGCAGCCCCTGAGAATGTGAGAGAAAACAGCTGCTGTTGTTCCTCCTCTACGAGCAATTTTGGTTTGTCTGAATAAGAGACCCAATTTTATTTTACTTGGTTGTGTGAATAAGTTCACTTCCTTCCAGAAACCTTTATTCAGGCTCTGACATAATTAACAAGTTAAATCAGAGGGGAGCAGACTTTGAGGATAATGGCTAAATCGTCAATTTTATTTAATGTGTAGAATGAGTTTGACATTCTCTTAGATTTAGAAAGTTTTTTCTTTTTAAAGTCACATCAGTGTATTAATGCAAGGTCCACTTTTCAGGAGAAGAAAGGGAAAAACCAGTTATGATTTCTCCTGAATGCAGATTATGGTCGCATCCTAAAATTACATATTATAGTGATTTGGCATTGAGCAGAACATTCTTAATATTGAATTTGGAGAATGCCATTTAAATGATAGAATCATAGTAAGACACGTTAAATATGTTTGAACTGAAAATGCAAAAGGAGATGAAAATATCCTCACGGGACAAATCAGGGCTGAATTAATACAGTAATCTCTCTCTTTCAAGATGTGTACCATGAAAGCAACAATGATGACGATGATTTGAAATGTTTCTGAATACAGAAGTAACTGTGCTTGACCGACTATTTATTTTATTGTCGATTTGTCTCTGGTGGACTTTATTCTTCCAGTCTTCTTAAAGCTTTGAATTTTACTGACACTAGATTCTGCTTCATGGTTTTTCCAGTCGGAATGTGCTGTACACTGCACACTTCCATTAGGGAACACAATTTCTCTTCTAGCTAAGAAACCCTAATTTTTTTTGAGGGGGGAGGAAAGTGCTGCTATTTAAGATTCTTGCCAAACAATCTACAAATGGAAAGGCGTCTGGAGACTGTGACCACTATTGGCAACTTATGAAGTATTAGGTAATAAGGAAGCAATGGTGAGACGCTAGTGGTGCTGACTCCTGCATTCTGTTAGATCTGATTCTGCATGGATATTAATAATGATGCACCCTATGGATGCAATTTCATGTTTATAACACTTGGGCCATTGGCAGCATTGTGCACCTGTGTTTCCCATGCCTTCCCATCTGCTGCTTATAGTCATTCAGATTCAGGTGACAGAAATATTTTAGATAAAAGTTAATTAGCCTGCACTCTGCAGATCAAATTTCTATAGTTCAGCATTAAATAGGAATCTTCCAGGTAACTGCTGAAAGTGGTTTGTATTCACCCTTCCTAAAATTAAAAATGTAAGATTTATTTTTCTAGGAAAAGGAATCTTTAGTACTCCCTGGATATTTTATGCACAGATTCCACCAAACTTTTGACATGTATATTGCCCTTATTCATTTTAGCTCTTATCTCTGCATATATATCAGAAGCAGAAGTAGAGAGATTAGAAATACACACATGTATACATAATCTAAAGGAACAGAGTGAACATGTTGCAGCCAGAAATTCTCCAACGTGTGGACACTGACCAATGTTGAGCCAGCCCCAGAACTTTCCTCAGTTTCTCAATCTTTAAAATGGGCCCAATACCAGTTACCTGTCAGCTTAACAAATACTTTGTGCAAGGGTTAATTCAGCTGGACACTATGTAAAAGTAATACATAAAATGCAGAGAACTCCTATTGCTCAAGGACCTTGTTCTGTCCTTAAATATTTATCTCCTTGTTATTACTTATCAACAGTTAAGTTCACAAATAGCTTCCTTTATTGAAAATATGTTTGCTTTTTTTAACGGACAAAAAAGGGTAATTATTCTTAGGCAATGGGAACAGAGATAAAAGCAATTGCATAGCAGCCTCTGAGTCCCTGTCACACAGAGGGAAGGCAGGGACAAAGAAATAATCCCCAAATGAATCTTCCCATCCATTGTTTCACTGTTCTGTATTTCTAATACTTTCCAATACCCCAAACACTCTTAACCACTCTTCTTCACGGATCGCTTCTGTACTAGCTGCAGATTCTCTGTATACTCAAAGGAATTCAGAGGCATGTTTCTTCCTTACACCATCGCCTGGGGCTCACACACACTTCTGAAGTCAAAGGCAGCAGATGCTGCTTTCTCTCCCACAGGCTCTCAGAGTTCCTCACTGGAATGTGAGACTCAGGGACCCCCTATCCCCATCCCCAGCCCTTCTATTTGGCGCCTTGACCGCTCTCCACGGTCCTGAATCTCCACTTCTACTTCTGCCGGGCACACACTAGACTTTTCCCAGCTGGTCAAAACATGAAGATGTTTTTTCCCCTTTTCTCCCTATTTCCTTTTTTCTTTCCACATTTTATTTTCATCCACTCTTAAAGTGTTTGATTCTACTTCCGCTGAGGTCCTTCTACCTACGACCTGTGACTATGGTTCCATCCTTAAACAATGTCAAAGTTATAAGACACCACGTCCCTCTGGACGTCAGCGGGCCCCCTTTGCTCGCCCCACTCTACCGTCCCTGCCCCCAGCGGCGCCTGTCTGCACTCCACGCGCCACTCGCCTCTCACCTGACTCTCCCGCGGAAACTCGTGGCGCACGATGCTGATCACTGGAATGTGCAGGACCGAGCTGACCAAGTCCAGCTCCATCATCTCGCCCAGGCCCTGGGGGAAGGCGAGCAGCGCCGATACTCCTTGCACCACCACGGTGTGGCACACACTTTGCAGAAAGGAGAAAGGGTCACTGCTCCACGGCGAGCTAGGGGAGGAGAAGGGCAAAAGCGGCAGATCGCCCAGGCCTGCCTCGATGGCCATCACGACTTCCAAAGACAGGTTGTAGGGCAGCAGCCCTTCCACGCGGTTCAGGTTGTCCACCGCGAATAGGAGGGCGTCCCGCGGCCACAGGGTCTCGGGCCCCGGGCCCTCCCCGGGCTTCCGGACGCCAGGCGGCCCCCGGCCACGCAGGGTGCTCCCCAACCAGCGTGCGCCCGGCGAGGGCGCCGGGGGCCGCCGAGTCCCTGGCTCCGGTTCATCCCTCTGGGCGCTTGCCCGGCTGCCGTCTGGAGCGCGGCTGGCCGCGCGGGGGGCCGTGGTCCAGGGCTGCAAGTGCACCGCGCCCACCCTCACCGCGTGCCCGATGCGCTTGAGGATCTGGCAGGGCTGCGGGTGCGAGGAGGAGCCGGGCACCCCGGCTAGCACCAGTGCGCAGGGCGGCGGCAACAGCAGACAGACCCTGCTCAGCAGCCACCACAAACTCAGTCTCCTCATTACTGAGACCCGCAGGGAGAAAGCGCGCCCCCTCCTGCGCCCGCCTCGCCCCTCGGCAGCTGCCGCCTAAGGTCTCCGCCTCCAGGTCCCGCGCGCAGCTTCACTCTCGGCGAAGCGGTCCCAGGAGCTGGCACGGTCTCCGGGCCATCCGAATTGAAGCCTAGCGCGCCCTTGGCAATCTCAGATCCAGCTCCGGGGTGCCTCCGCCTGGCATCCTCTGCCCGCCCGGGCACTGCGCGGAGCGGGGCAGGCGGGCGGGCGGGCGCCTGTCACCCGCGGCTGGGGCGCGGGTTCCCTGCCCGCCCCATCTGCAGGGCGCCTGGCACTGCGTCCGGCCCCTCGAGGCGGCTGGGCTGGGAAGCAGCCCGAGTTCCAAGGGGGCAGCGCGGACAGAGGAGCGGCGCTCGCACTTGGGTTCTTTCCCTTTTCCACCCAGGCGAGACCCACTTCTTTCCCGGGGTGGCGTTGGAGAGAGCGTTCACGCCCGGGGTGCGGAAAAGGGGACGCCAAATCCGCTTTGCTCCGCTGTGGGCCACCCTCTTGCAGGCTCCCCCGGCGCTAGCTTCATTTTCCTTCTTCCTTCGCCACTTCCTCTCTTCTTTCTTTCGTTATTTTCTGCCCAGTCGCCACTGCCGCTTGCTTCCTTGGAGGAGCAACACGACTGGCCAGCAAAGGGTGGTTCTGCTCCGAGCGCCAAAGTTCTCCCCGCCTCAGCCGGCGCCTCCCTGTTGCTGAGCCCTGGCGCCGGCCTGTCGCTTGGCTGCGCTAAACGCCCACTGTTGGTGAGATTCCCGAGTGCCACATCCAGTGCCCCAGGAAAGTCCTCTCCCCTCAGAGGCTGAAGCCCGAGTTTGCAAAATTCCCTGAGACCTCAGAGGGAAAAAAGACTGAGCCGTGGAGAATTCTGAACTCAGAGTCGTGCCCGAGGGATCTGAAATCCAGTGGTTCACTGAAATAGGCTCAAAAAAGGCTGTGACTTCAACAAGCTTCTCGATGTGTCGCTTTAAAGGTTGTTCTAACGAAGGGTATTAAGGCAAGAATTATTTACACATGTAATCTCCTCAGCTGCCTTCTCTCTGGTACGCGGACCTTTGCGTTTTTAAGGATGTTAATTCTGAGAATCTGCTTTTAGGCCCTCAGAATTAAAACCGAGTTCAAAGCAATTATTTGTTCATGATATTAGAGAGATTCAAAATACTCTTCGAATTTCAAATAAAGCCAACAGCAATCTCCAGTTTGGACTAAAAGTCCCCAGATCACTTTTTCTGCTAAGTTATTTTATTTGTATGGTAATACAGGGAGGTCAATAGGTCGTGATCTAATTTTCTTCCTACATGATCTGAGTAGTCTGGAACTAGAGGGAAAAGAAAGAGTTAAGAGCAGGCCTGTGGTTTCCACACACACAAAGAATAATTTTATTTTATTCCAAGTATCATGTGGAGGGAGGTTGGAAGAGAGATATCCATGGGGTGGAGCAAGCATTTGGGGGCTCAGCAATCATGAATGGAATACCACTTCAATAGAACCATGACCTTGGCAATTTATTTCACCCGACCTTGCCCTGCAGTTTGGATTTGCTAAATTGTTATGCAAATACAGCTAGCTTTTAGCTCTGGAGAGTTGTTTTGATTCATGAGCTAAAGTTTCCATCATGTTTTAAATCCTGGGATGAAGAGACTCCAGCTAAATAAAAATCCCAAGAACGTTGCAAAGTGAAGGCGATTTTCCTAAGTATAGACCCTCAAAGACGTCTCGGAGCAAAATTCACCAGACATTCAAAATAGTTTTTCCGAGACTGGGTTGCTAGAGAAGAAAAGGCTCCTATGAGGGAGGAGTGAAAATAACAGAAGAGGCTGGACCAGGAAGGAAAAGGACCCTCCTGAAGTCGAGAGAGCATCCCCTGAATGGGGATACACTGCCTCTAGCCTATTAGAAATTCCCTCCTGTTCCAGAGCATTCCACTGATCAAGACTTGAGTAAGCAAAGTGTAGAATTCCATGGTCCTTGTATTACAGGCAGATTGGGTGTATTTGTCTGTTGTTTGAGTATGTGTGCATTGAAAGAGTGTACCACTCTGGGTTATACCCAGAAATCCGTGTGGTATCTTAGCGCTTGGCATTACACATACGTTCAGATCAGGTTAATGATTAGGGACGGAAAGGGGATACAGGGAAGTCGGAGAAAAGTCTGGCCACTTAGATAAGAAAAGTTAAATAGGAACCAGAGCAGCAATGAGTTTCTGGAACCTTGTGACTCAATTGATGGAGTATATCCTGTTCTCCACAAAATGCAGTTTCGGGCTTGTGACACAGTTGGGATAATGGTCATAGTTACAGCATAGTACCCACAACAAATGTCACAGACCTCAGGACCAATAGACACCACCATACAATTGTTGGAAAAATAGCAGGTAGCAGTGATTGTTAACAAGGTAAGGCAAATGGGTGCTGTGGTAACTAAAGTAACCTGTTACCTACCTATAAGAAATAGCCAAGTATACCTAAGGACCTTCAGGAACCAATGAAAAACTCTTATAGATAATTGTGGGAGGAACTAAGATAAGATAACTTGTGTGGGGGCATGTTCTCTCACTTGCCAGGGCAACTCTTTGCAAGCTTTCTGGAAAAGTCTGTGTTTATCTATGCTTTACTTTAAATGAACTATATTCTTTTTCTTTACTTTAAATCAACTTTGCTTCTCTTTGGCTACCGTGGAGAGTCCAGGCTGCCTTATTACCACCTTTCCCCATACCTTGCTTTCGCTTTGACTTGGCCAGACTTGCTAGTTCTGCTGAGTAAATCAGACCAGGCCTACTGAACAGCTCAAGTGTCTTAGAAACCCCTAATAGTTCTCAAGATGATGATGGAGAGCAGTATGACCTGATTGTTAATGGCATCCTCGAATCCCTGTGTGTGCTTTAGGACTCTGACAAGTTTTTAGACAGTTATTCATTTCTGAAGCGATTTCTGAATTTTTGAGGATAATTCTGTCCCATGTTATAAAAAAGGCTATAATTAAATCTCATGAATGCTGAGTGACCTGTGAAGAATAGCCCTTCCTTCTGCTGGTTTTCTTTTTCTTTCTTTGTTTTTTTAATTTCATTGGTTTCCCTTCTGCTTTCCGTTTGCTGCTTGGTTCCTTTTCCATATCACTGTGGTCTTCGCATCTCTGACATGAGCCTACTCTCACCTTTCTCTGCATCTTCTCTTTCTTTTCCCCTTTCTCCTTCTCCTCCACTTTCTAATTTTCAAAGCTCTTTCAGATTCAGTCATCAATTCAACAACTACGTATTAAGTTCCTATTGTGTGTCAGACATTGTTGTAGGACTATCCTGGGAATAGATGAATAAACTCTGGTTCAGAGAAGTTGAGTTTTCCCTGTCCACAAGGTCATAATCAATGATTAAAAAATGCTAACTAACATAGAACAAATGCTTATATGTAGCAAAGCATACAAATAAGTAAATGCAGGATATGTTAGTTGGTGCTAAGGAGAAAAACAAAGCAGGGAAGAGGAAGTGTGAAGAGAGTGGGTTGTAATTTTAGTGGAGAGCTAGGGAAAACCTCTTTGAGAAGAAAACTTTGTGATAATGACCAAAAGGGAAGTGAGTGAATGATTCCTGTGAATTCTGAAGGCAAGAATTTCCAAGCAGGAAAAACAGCAAATGCAAAGGCCCTGAGGCAGAAGTGTTTCTGGGAGTATTTGAGAAATAATAAGGGATCCATATGGTGGCAGCAAAATGATCCTGGGTGACAGGTCAGAGAGGCAATGAAGAGGTAGTCGGTAATGTAAGCCAATGAAGAACTCTGGCTTGAACTATGAATAGGGTAAGAAGACATGAGAGTGGGGGGAATGGGCAGAAAGTGGTGGACTGATGTTTTAACAGGACCACTTTATCCATTCTATGGATAATAGATGAAAGGTGGATAAAAGCAGAAGCCATAAAAGGAAATGTAAGGCTATTGCAATAATCCATGGGACAGTTAACCCTTTCAAATCATAAAAACAACTTTATTGGGTTAATATAATCATTCCCATTCTAAAAGAGAGGAAATTGTGCTTGAGAAACTCGAATTATTAGCACAAAGTTATCACATAGTGAGGGACAGTTTGGCCTCAGAATTTTAAGTTCATCCCAGCTGCATCATTGGTAGCAAAAATCAAATTTCAAAATTGGCTCACCCAGAGAAGATGAAGCTCTTTTTATTACCTGATTCAAAATGAGAACTACTGATCTAAGAGTCAACATTTGAGAGTCAAACAAACAAAAACAAATCCAAATGCTCACAATTTAAAATGTACTTTTGTGCACATCTGTGCTTTATGAGACCAGCAATGGGTAGACTGAAAGCTGAGATATAATATATTGGAGGAGGCTCAGGACAGGCTGCAGTAAAAGAAGTGATGGGAATTAGAAGCTTGGCTTCCCTTCTCAGCACTGTTTCCCCAGGGGGATGACATTTAATCTTTCAAAGCTGGAGCTTCTCCCATTGTACGGTGATTGTGGTGACAGCTCTTGGCAATCTTCTTCGTAGATGCAGTGGTGCGCAGACTCCTGTGAACCTTTCCAAGTTCCATGGGAATGGGAGGCTCCTTGTGGGGTTCTCGGTTCAGTCACATGCTCTCAGCAATGTGGAAAACTAGTCTTTTTCTTTCCTGTAACGACTGAACATATTACACATCGTATGCACATTTAGCCTTGTTTCTGTGACTGACAATAATATTGAATGACTTATCTCCAGTTCTGGGTGAGCCCTTTTTTATAATAGTAACTATGTAGGTTTGTAAAAATAGTCAGATGAAAAAGTTGCTGGCTCTGAGTTAGTTCATATCCGTAAGCACAAATGATGGGCCCTTCTACATCCTCCTCTTTATCTCTACTGCCAGAGACCCCCTTGTTATGAGGATCTTCCTGGACAAGAACAAACAAACGAAAATATGTGATGCTTTGAGAGACTCGATGGTAGCAGAATTTTAGGAGAGGATAAATATAGAAAAAATCAGGTCAGTTTAAAGGAGCAAATCCTGAGGATTCGTCTATCAAAAGTCCAAGCATTTTTTTTCTCATTCTCCCAATTGAAAAAAAAAAAAAAGAAGAAAAACAATATTGATGTGATACGTGTAACACTCTCCTACAGTCTTCTAATTGGGCATGCATTTTGGCAACAATTATCCTCTTTTAGAAAATATAAATGATAATTGGGGACTCGTGGAGTTAGGGACGCTGCAGACTCCTAAGTTGAGTCGGTCAGCGCTCGCCATGAAGCCAGGTTTCAGTCCCCGTGGGGGTGGCTTCAGCGGCCGAGGGGGCTTTGGTGATCGTGGCGGTCGAGGTGGAGGCCAAAGAGGTTTTGGTGGAGGTCAAGGTCGAGGTGGAGGCTTTAGAGGCTGTGGACGAGGAGGAGGAGGTGGAGGAGGAAG